GATCACCGATGGCCAATCGTTCCTTTCTACTTTGCCAAAGGTGGCTCAAGATTGTCTTCCCTAGTCTGCCTGTCCTGACGATATCCTTTCCCGCCTTTTCAATCCACCTCCTATGGCCCAGTACAGCTACCGTCCTTTCCTCTCTATTCCATGCCTCAAACATCTCCCTGTACGTCCCATCTATTTTTCCCAGCTGTCCCGTAAACTTCCCTCTCCTTGTACCACGGACATTCCGCGACTAAATGAGACACGGTCTTCGCATTTGAAGCCGCAATCACATTTGAACTCGTCGTCTTCCTCGTCTACCGTCCTATGTCTTCGTCGACGTTCTCGAAGGCCTATGTCCCCGGTCCTGAATTTGACCTTAAGCTTTGTTCCTGCATCCATTGGTCCATGTAGGTAGTCCTTGAACCCTATTCCTTCCTTCAACAAGGGGGGGGGGTAAAGAGCACCTCGTAGAATAAAGCTTGCACACAGTGACGCCGAGCGTCACACGGCTTTTTCATGGAGCCTCGGAAAGCGGGTTATCGTTGCCCGTGCCTCTCTTGAGCGCGTCCTTGCCAGTGTTTTAGTGTGTGTGGGGCGCCGAGTCATCCTGAGTTTTTTAAAGCTAGGAGAGGCCGTCTTCGGCGTAAGCAAGGACAGCAGCAGAGTAAAAGTGGCGCCCCAAGCACGTTGCTGCGTGGAGAAGCTAGGGCCGCCCGCTCAGGAATCGTGCTCTTTCAACAACGAATGTCATGGCCATCATCGCCGCTGTAAATTCCAACAACACCAACAACACCATCATCATCAACCACAACAACAACAACAACCAAAACACCGCTGCCATGCCACCACCCACGATGAAGGTCCTCGGTCCGGCCAAGACTGGCGCGGCGGTAGTCATCGTCGACTGCCCATCCCCGGACCTCCTGCCGTCCCTCGTGTCCAACCCCGCTTGGGAACGGCTCTACAACTCGGGACCAGACAGCACCCCCACCGTCAGCGACAACGCCTCCGCCAAAGGTGGCGGCAAGGGTCGTAGACGTGGCGGTAACAACAAACCCTTCGAAAGCGCCCCGCTTTTTGTCCACGTGGCACCCGCCGAGGTGCTCCGGTCGCCGGAGTACGGGGAGTGGGCTAGGAGGTTCGGTCCCGAGGCGAAGCATCTCGTGACTCGGCAGCCCTTCTGCTCGCCGCACACGATTTTTCAGGTGTGACGTGGAGCGTGTCTGATGCGGTGGTTTAGTAACAGGTTGTATGTACTTTCAGGCCGTTGTCGGTGGAGGCGTTCTTGTTCGGGAAGCCTGCCGTTTTGTCTGTTTTCAAGTAGCTCTCTCCGTTGCAGCAGATGAAAGGGGCTCGTGAAAGTGCGATGACTTGATTGGCTGTGAGTCCGATCGAGGACGGCTAGACGGCTACCTGAATCAGTCTGCGGAGCCCCCGATGTTGCTCCGCAACACCCACGTGGCTTTTCTCTTCGACCTTTCTTTTGGGAGCTGATCTAGACTGACTTGCGTTAGATCGAAGCGGGGCGTGGGGGGATGTAGGTGATTTTGTGTTTTATTGCCCCGCTCGGCCGCATACGGCTGTTCAGGTGGGTGTTGTCGTCTCTCAGTAGCGTACGTCTGTGTGGTAATAGAAAAGGTACTTGGGGACATTGCTATCCGTTGTTTAGCGTGTGTGTTGGGTATCCCGTAGGTGACGTATCAGGTATCACACCCCCTGGGCCGGTTTCCAAAGCACGATTACTCCGCAGCAGAAAGAGTGGCGGTGCCGAACATGACGGGGTGAGAACCGTGTCGTCGAGAGCCTTCCCCGAATACGTATCGTTTGATGTTTACGTCCCGTTCGCGGTCGGTTGATCGAGCTCTGAAAATCGGTCCAGGGGGTATGGTATCTTAAGTCATGTCACCTGCGGTTAACGAGAAGGACGCCGTGTGGAGCAGCGACTCAGTGCTGCTATGTACTACATGATGGGATGAGTTCATTCCCACATGGACGGGTGTTCGAGCAGATGGAGGCGGTGGACTCCGGAAACACGTGTCTGTCTTTCGATCGTATTGTTTTGATGCGTGCACACCCTTGCTTGCTGCTTGCGTCGAACAGGTAAACGCTACGCTTTGTCGAAGAACAGAAGCAACGCGGCGGATTCTCCTCCTTCCTTTTTTTTTTGATGTGACAACAAAGAATCCATATCCATCCGTTGGCAAGGGTCTAGAAAACTTGTTAAAATTTATAGCGTTAGCGGAGTACTACCCATGTTCATGTGCGCTGGCTTGACACCCTTGCGCGTTGGGCGCTTGGTTCACAGGCGGCGCACGACCAGGTGGTCAGGCTTAATCAAGTCTGCGGGGCCGCCTTCCCGGTCCCCCGACAATTCGTGGGGGGAGTTCCATGGGAAAGCGACGGCGGTGGCGGTGGCGGAGATGGGAGCGGCAGCGAGGACACAAGAAGTGGCGGCTTTGCCAGTGAAGGCGCGGGAATCATTCCGCCGGAGGTTAGGCGCATCGGGCGCGAAGAGCTAGACTTCGGAGGCAAGGTGCGGTTCGGCGGTTGTTGTGTTTTTTTCACCGGAAGACTGAGCCGCGTTTGGGGCTCCCTTGCAGTGCCCTCTTGCTCTGCCCATCACGGCCTTCTAGCAGATGAAAAACGTTGGCCACGAAAAAGAAAGGTGGGCGTGGGCTAACTCGTCAAGCCAACGGGTAGGTTGAAAGGGCTGCAACACGAGTTTTGATGAAGGGAGGTTGGTGACCGTACCAACCAACGTGTATATTCCCCGTGTTTGGGAGAGGGTTAATTGCTCCTATACGGCTCAGTTCACACAACAAGGGTTTACCCCCCCTTGAGTTGTAGTGGCATGGCCTTATTGGTGTGTCCTCGACACAAGGAGTAATGGTCACGCATCGTACTCGAGAGGCTGCAGATGCCGCCGGGGTTACTGATTGGTTTCATTGCTGGGGCTGCTATTTAGCGCATACTTTGTGTCGTTGCTGTCGCGTGCGGCTTGACACAAGGCTGGTTGGTGCTGGGGGGGAGGTCTGGTGCGCGACTACTGACTTTTTCAGAGAATGTGCAACTCGTTTTGTGCAACTCGAACAACTTTTTGCCTGCATGTCCAGGTGATGGCCGCCGTTCCGCTCCTGAAGTTCGAGATGCTGCCTACCGCCAAGAGGCCTCAGATGGACGCCACGGAAGCGCTGACGTGGGATCGGTCTCGCAACAACACTCAGACCTCTGTGAGTTCTTATTTTTGTCGTAGTACATGGTCAGTAGAACACGGGCATGTCGGCCGGCCAGTGGGCTTGGGTGGCACCGTCGTTGTTGCTGTTGCCGCTGATGGTGCGTCCAGACAAACCATTGGCAGACCATGGATCACCTATTTGCCCTGCTGGCCCGAGCCCTAACCTTAGCCGTGGCTAAAGTCGCGAGCGAACGCTAACCTTGCACCTCCGGACGTCAGATGTCTTGCTGTCCCTCTTGCTCGTATGCATGCATACCCAGGTTGAAGTAGTCTGTTGACGCGAGGTAGTTGATAACCCTCACGACAATAAAACACCTTGAGCTCCGGCAAGGTCGTCATGACTGACGACCCCAAGTCACGTCCAGCGTGGCGCTAGACGAAATTATCGCAGGCGACGAGAAACGAACACACCTGATGTATTCCGGCCTTGAAAAAATTTTTTGCGTTGTGTCCCCAACACCCTACCAAGGCTTAACCTTCCTCGCCCCTCCCTGCTTGCCTGCCTGCCTTGCCCACACTTCTCTCCGCCGAAAAGCTACGGCGACTGGAGAGCATCCGCTCCGGCCCACGCTCACGCTCCCCCTCTCCCCGCCGCTCACGCTCAAAATCACGCTCACCCTCGCGGTCATCGGGCGGCGGCGGCGGCGGCGGCGGCGGCGACGGCCGCAAGACGGGACAGGCACCTGGCGCGTTCCTTCTCCCGGCGGGGGCGTCTAATTCCGAGGTGGCCTTCCTCGGCACCGGGTCTGCGCTGCCGTCCAAGTACCGGAACGTGACCGGGATGCTGGTCCGGCTGTCGCCGACGGACCCTGCGTCTCCGGCGGCGGGGGTGGTAGGGGTGTCGGACATCGCCGAGGCGCGGGGAGGTCTCCGTGGCGGTGATGGTAGTGGTAGCGGGGTTGGCAGCGGCGGCGGCGGCGGTGGAGCAGAGGCAGAGGGAAAAAACGCGGCTGCGTTCGGAGGAGACGGCAGCATTCTACTGGACGCCGGGGAAGGATCCATGGGCCAGCTGTGGAGAATGTACGGAGATAGCTCGAGCAGCAGGGGGGGGGGGGGGGGGGGCGCCTGCCATGCCGAGGAGGTCGCCGGGGATAAGAACGCAGGGGTGCAGCAGATCCTGCGGAACCTCTCCGCCGTGTGGATCTCGCACCCGCACGCGGACCATCACCTGGGTCTCGTCCGAATTCTGTCCGAGCGGAATAAGTTGATGAGCGGAGGGGGCGGCGGCGGGGCGCCGAGAAGTGCGGGGTCGCTGGGAGGGGTGTCCGGCGGGGGGCCGCGGTTACCGAAGTTGTTACTCATGGCACCGGCTCCGGTGGCGGCCTGGCTCAAGGTGTGACTGAGCGAATGAAACCATGTTCCCTTTTTGTAGGTTTTGTTTTAGCGGACGCCATTTTTATCCTATTGTTTTGCGTCCTGTTCAGGAGGGTAGTGTAGGTGTGTTAACTGTTTCCCCCAAGCACTCGCACCCGCAGCTCCGAGTGCTCTAGCACTACACTTTTGTTTTCTTGATCGGCCAACGGCAAGCAATAGATAAACAGTCTAGGTGTGTGTCATAATTTCCCGTTTCACTCCCTTCCGTAGCTGCTCCCGAGTACTATACTTTTATTCTTGAACGGCCAACAGCAAACAATAGATGTGTGTCACAACTTACTATCGACTTCCATCCGTAGCTCCCGAGTACTGCACTTTTGTTCTTGATCGGCTAACAGCAAACCTTCCCCGAATCCAACCCCACCTCCGGCTACCTACCGTCCCGTCCGTCCCATCGAAGGAGTATGGCGACGTTGACCCGACCGTGCGCGGCGGCTACGACTTCCTCGACGCGAGCCTCATGCAGGCTGGGGACAACGCTCCCCGACCCCCGCCCCACATCGCCGCGGCCGCCGCCCGCGCGCTGGCGAGGGCCGGCGTCCTGCGGGCCACTAGCGTCCGCGTCCGCCACTGCGCGCACGCCTACGCCCTCGTCCTCACGGTGGCGTCGACCGCTGCAAAGGCGGCGGCTGCGGCGGCGAGTGCGGTGTTCTCCGCTAGCCCTTCTGTTGCGGCCAACGCGGTGTTTGGCGGTCGCNGGGGGGGGGGGGGGGTCGCGGACAGCCAAGCAAGACAAGGGGGGGATGACGGCAGCGGGGTTCCGGGGGAGGGGGCGGGGAAGGACTGGAAGCTGGTCTACAGCGGGGACTGTCGGCCGAGCGAGCCCCTGGTCAGGGAGGGGAAGGGGGCGGCGGTGCTGATCCACGAGGCTACGTTCGATGAGACCAAGCAGCAGGTCCGGTCGATCTTTTAGCGGTAGTGTTTTTTTGTTGTTGTTCGGTTGAGCTTTTCTCGTGGGCGTTTGTCAGCGTGCTTGTTGTTGGGTAGTAGTTCTGGCGTTGGTGGTGGTGATAAGCGGCGATGGCAGTGTTTTCGGTTGTGAGGTAGACGCGACCGAGCACGCTCAAGCACGCCATCATCCTGGGACGATACGCCCGGCATTGTCCGCAAAAACGGTGAACACCTCCGTTCAACACCTTTGGCGCTAGCAGTCGCCATCCCCACTCCCGAAAACTTGGAGACCCGAGTCCCAGGCCCCAACCCGTCCCTTGTAGTGGAGTCTCCAATGAGAGGCATCGCCCCCTGAACACACAAGCCGCGCCACCACCGACATTCCCCCCCCGCCCCTTAAACAGGAGGCGTTCGACAAGCGGCACTGCACGATGCAGGAGGCCCTGACCGTAGGGCAGCGCATGGGAGCAAAAAGGGTCATCTTGACGCACTTTAGCCAGCGTTACCCGCACATGCCTTCCTCCCTTGCGGGGGGACTGGGCACCAACGTCTGCCTGGCGTTCGATAACATGCGGTGCGTTTGTGCGTGTGTGTGTTGTGTGTGTCTGTGTGTCTTTGTTGTGAGAATTGTCCCCGCTAACCGGCTGACCAATGAAAAGACGTCAGCCTTGGTGCCGTTGAAAACACAAAACACTTGTATCTGCCATGAGCTGGGACCCCGTGAGGGGGCAGCATGTGTTTGTGTGTCTTTGTTGTTGGCATTGACCCCGCCAACTGGCTGACCAATACGTCAGTCTCAGTGCGTGTGTGTGTCTTTCTGTTAGCATTGACCGCGCCAACTGGCTGACCATACGTCAGCCTCAGTGCGGCTAAACACGAAAACGCTTCTAGAGGCTATGTTTCTTGGATCCCGCGAGAGGGAGTCGTGAGGGAAGCTAGGCTATTGTCCGGATTGAAGACAGAACCAGAACCACTTGAAGGGAAAGCGCACATTTCTATCGTGCGTGTTTTCGCGCGATCGGGAGGTGGTTGCCCGAACCGCATTCGCGAGAAATCAAACTACTGAGGAAAATAGAACAGGGAGGGGGTACGCAGACCGTATCCCTAACCCTAACCCAATTTCCCCGATTGCACACTGTATCCAACATGTTTACGTAATATGAGACCCTGCGAAAGGTACTGGACCGGATCACTGACCCTATCTAAAACCCAACTTCCCCTATTGTATGCTTAATCCAATATGATTACTTAGAACGAAAACCCCTGTGAAGGCTACTGGACCGGATCCCCGACCTTGTCCTCAACCCAAGATCCCCGACCTTGTCCCCAACCCAAGATCCCCGATTGCATGCTTTATCCAACATGTTTTGCTTAAAACGAAAACCCCTTATGAAGGCTACTGGGTTGTGTTGACAGCAGAGCGGCAAGTGTGGGTCGCCTTGCGCTGATGTTTTGGTCCTCCCCACGTCTTTCCAGAAGACCGCGCAGGCGACAGAGCCAGGGCTATGTGCTTTGCAGCCCTCGTATCTTTTTGGCGGTGCCGTCTTTGCACCTGGCACCTCTCGTTGTCTATTGTAGTTCCTCCTTCCTTCTCCCTGTACTCCAAGGTTGTTTAGCACCCACCGAGCTGAAACGCTCGTGTTCTTTTTTCTTTTTTTTTGCTTGTTTTAGGGCCTTCTTGCGCAAGTACAGTAAGTTTTTTACGAAAAAAGATCAGGCAGGGGGCACACGGACCCTGCCCCTAAAACCTCAACTCGGCCGGTTCTACACTTAATCCTTATGTTTGCTTACGTAGAAACACGTACGTAGACTATTGCGTTTTTGTCCCTGTATTTCGTCGTCGTCGTGCCCGTGTCGCAGGGTATTCAATTCGCCTACGATCCAGAAAAGTTCCTCCTGTACACATACATGACCAGCACATAACTGTGGCTGCTTATTTTAGCACAAGTGTCAGAGCCCCGCCCTCAAATTTATCCCTGTCCACGTCCTCTACTCTACGCCCTTGTACCTACCTATTTTGTTTTGGCAGTGTTCGCATCGCGGACCTGGGCTGGCTCCCTCGGAGTTTCGCCGACATCAACTCCGCGGTTACCCCGGATGCTGAAGAACATCATCCGCAGCAGAAGCAGAAGCAGAAGCAGCAGCAGCGGCAGAAGCAGCAGCGGTAGCAGCAGCAGCGCCCGCGCAAAGGGGCCTCCGGAGGTGAAAATGGACCGGAATACTTTCAATTGTTTGTTGCGCTTGTTCGTGATGTCAGTGGTAGTGTAGCTGAAATAGAGAGCACCACTTGCTGAGGATTCGGTGTGTGATGGAGGGACAAGATTCCTCGAAGAAGGGCTGGAGGGTGTGTGCAACGTGCTGGAGACCACACTAGGATTAGCCCACAGTTAGGCATACCCGAGGGAGAACATTTGCCGCGGAATCTCAGCACACACACAGGACTGATCAACTCCCTACGATCCAGCTCAAAGCTATTTCGAAGGGCGCGTCCCTTGCGATCGGTAGATAGGACATGAGTGATCTTTGTGTGGTATTTGCACTAAGGTGATGTGAAGGACGTCGTTGATAGGAGTGTGTTCCATGGTGATCTGTACCACGTAGGTGACCTAGCTCATGATATGTCCTGTGTATGTGGAATCTAGTACAATACCGTTTACACGTCGACATGGTCAACTCTTTTGTTCTTGCGTGACACTCACAGAAAACATACGCATTCGCTGAGTATGGTCCCGAGGGTGGGGTGGGGTGGGGGGGGCAGAGACTTTCATCTTCACACGAAATTGTCCAATTCGTAGATCGTGCTGTCAACCGTTGGTCGACAGGGCGCAGCCACGCCCTTACCAGGCTCTTATCTGTGCAAGAGAAACAGTTGTTATGTTTTGTTGAAGAAAAGGAAACAACCGTACGTCGTCCCCTTCCGTGGCAAAAGCGTTTTTTTTCACCGTGCACTCGACCGGTGTCTAGCCACGGGGTGAGGTCAGAGACAACGCGAAAAGGCGGGCTCGATAGATGAGACCCAGCACATGTTTCGAATCGGAACGGTTCGCATCTCGACGTAGCAATCAAGCATCCATCCCTTGCGTCGGATCAATTCCCAGACTTCACCCTGCTTGTAAGATCAACCCATTTTGGGGGTAAGGCGAAAGTACAACTACATAATCCTGCAAACATCTAGATACTTACTGAGCGCCGCTCCTCTGCTCTATTCCGCTTTGTCTCCTGCAAGAGTGTATCGGGAAAGCGGTATCCAACCAAACAATAGCTAGCTTATCAAACGAGGCAGTTACTGTTCGTGACATGAAAGTTGGTTCCGCTGCTTGGCAGGCCTGCCACAAACAGCTAGTGTAAAATCCACCGAACAAGTACAACACACGGCACACCCACAGTTGTACACACCCGTTGTCGTTCTTTGGGAAGCAACAACACTCACAGCCACAATTCACAGCGGTTGTCACCGCATGCAAGCATCAAAGTAAGGCCAACCACAACACGCAAGACGCGCCGATTGCACTGTGCGTCGAGGCCGGGGGGGTCTTTCCACATCACCAAGAGTCCGACAAAAGATTCCTCACCGAACAACCTCGCATCAATCCAACTCTTCTTGCCACTACCCAAGTCTGCCTCGATCGCCGCCGCGGAACGTTTGGCAAGCGCCCCGGAGCCGCGCTTTTACTCAGATATTTCCAACACCTACCACAGTACGTAGTCTTCGTCTTCAACCGTTTCGTTGCGAGGCGTACATCAACTCTGGGCGGGATCTTAGCACCTGCGCGGTCTGTCCGGCACCTTGCCCACCCGCTCGGTGCTAGGGTGTTACGTAGACAGACGAAGATCCACATAAGGAAGGCATTCGGAATAAACCACACGCCAAGGGCAACTCAAACAACACAGGGTAAGCAGGCGTCACCCCCCTTTCTCCTCTTTGTAACGTTTCACCTCGCCGGTTCGTTTCAGTCGTTGTGGTCGCCGGTAGTGGTGCGAGGTTTCACCTCGCCCACTATCCGGTAGTCTTGGGACAATTGCGAGGCTTCCATGGAAGAGGAGTGCAAACGACACAAGCAAACCTAGCACAAAATTATCCAGTTATTGGTTTTCCAGCCTTCCGTGATGACGTTTCGCAAGCGTCACAATCTGAAACCTCACGACACGAAACAAACATTTCTAGATTCTGAATACAACCTTCCGTGATGACGTTTCGCAAGCGTCACAATCTGGAACCTCACGACACGAAACAAGCATTTCTAGATTCTGGATACAACCTTCCGCGATGACGACGTTTCGCAAGCATCATCACCCTGGAACGCACGGCACAAAACAGACACTCCGGTCTCTCGCACATAACGTTCCGCGATGACAACGATATCATCCTTGGGGGGCAGCGGCGGTCGAGTCGCCGAGGGGGCGGCGGGACAAGCACGGCAGGCCGCCGTCCGCAAGGTCGGACGGGTCCGGTTCTGGAAACACTTCCTCCGACCCGTCGCTCCAGGCACCGTCGTCCTCCTGGTCGACGAGTCGGCTACGAAAGCCGCCACCTGTAGCGGTGTCGTAGTCGTGGAGACACCAGTCCGGTCCTCTTGGGGAGGGCGAGCCGGGGGCGCGGCGGCTGCTGCTGCTCCCGTTGCTTGGACTGATGAAGGCAAAGTCGCCGCCGGACCGGTCGAAAAGTTGGGCCGGAGACGTGACGGCCTGGAGAGCGAGCGGGTGGGAAGGGGTAGGGTTATTGTAGGTCGTAAGACCCGAGCGTTTCGTGGGGCAACGAAGAAAACACGCCGATAGAGGAGGCGGAGAGCGGGGGTTTATACCGCTCTGTTCCACTTCGCCAACCGGTCCACAGCGTTCCTGCATGCCTTCCACGTTGTTGAAGCGCTCCGACACCGGAATCCTCTTGTTCAAGGAACCAGCGGCGGCAAGTGGCAGAGGGGCAAAGGGTAAGCCTTGGGTACAACTGTATACAGGCCCGATATGAGGGCTTTGGTGGCGACAGCATGGTTGGAGGCAGGAAACTCGTCGTGCGGAATCGATCTTTCGTCGCCGGCTAAACGCGTCAATACGGGTGGCCGCCCGCATCACCCACGAACATTGTGCACGCTTAAGCCCTCAGCAAGAACACAAGCAGCACTAAAACGGCGCGGCCTGCTGCCGAAGAAAACAGCGGCTTTTCAACCCTTTGCAGCACCTCGTCATCTTGTCAACGCTGCCGATCAGCGACGACAATTCCGCGACATCTCACCATGTCCGTGCCGAAGGTGCCGCTTATATCCATCCGATTGGGGGGGAAACGAGTGCCGCGCTCCTCCTCCGCCAACACTCTGACCCAGTTTTCGTTGCCGTGCTCTGCGAACCAGGCTTGTGCCCACGGGTCGGAGTCCTGGTCGCCGGAGCTCCCCGGAGGGGTCCAACGGCCCGGCGAATAACGGCCCGGCGTCGCAACGCCATTGCCGCGGCTCGAAGCGGAGTGGTCGCGGGAGGAGAAGCGCGCGGTCGCCGGCCGGCGGTCTGGCCGCTGCTCCCTTCCAACCGGAGAAATACGCCCGGAACAGGCGCTCACGCCCTCTATCTCGGACGGGGACTCCTCCGATGACGACGGCTTTTGCTCACTGGCGATTGCTCGCCGAAAGGTAACACCGCCCCCCCCGGCCAGCTGCGGGCTGCAGCGACGCAAGTAGTCCTCAATCACGGGCGACGCGTCTGTCGCCTGCGCGGACAAGGATGCCGGCGGCGGCGGCGGCGATTTTCCCCCTCGAGAAGTAGAACACTCGTCGCTCCAAATCGTGCCGCGTTGCAGCCGCTCGTGAAATGCGCGCATCCGTGGGGAGCTCGGTCGGGTGGGGTATGAAGACCCTCCGTCCCTTTCCAGCGATGGCCATACGTTCGCGCGCGGCTCTTGCGGATTGTCCCTGGATGAGCCCCTGCCCTCAGCGACGGCGCTCGACACCTTGGTCGCCACTCCCCACTTCGCAGGGCGACACTCAGGTCGTGCCACGACGCCGGCAGGGTCCTCGTGGACAGAAGGAGGGGTGCCGCCCGCTATTTTGGCTCTGTCGTGCGGTGAGCCCTGCTCCGGCCCTGTGAATTGTCTGCAGTGAGAGAGAACGAAATGCCTCAGCAGTCGCGTTTGAACAGACTGACACCATTTGGCGGGTATGATGGACGCACGTTCCCGGTTAGCTTCTTCAACAAGGTGATCCGTCGATATCTCTCGACCGCTCTTGGTCTATCGCACTAGTGCTGTTTTTTTGCCAGTGACATGGTGTGGTTATGCCAAAGCCTACCACGTTATTGTACCGCTGTGTCGTTGGCCCTTAATGATGGCCGTGAGACAGCAGCGTCAGGTCCGGCGTATGTCGGATAAAAACTTTCGTGGAACCTACTCAACCATTCAAAACTACATTACTTGCCGGAAAGACAAGGTCTTGGCGCCTGTTGGCTGGAAAGGCTCAGTCCGGGATGGAGGGAAGACCACAATGGTGAAACGACTGAATAGACAGCGACGAAACTTGTACCGTTTGTTCATACCTCAATGGCTCGTCCAAGCGACGCATCAGTTCCAGGAAGCTCTCGAGATTCTCGCTCGCCAGGACGTACGCTACGGCCATTGAACGCTCACTTTTGGGACCGCTGTCATGCATCCTCCGGGCTGCGACGATCAAGCTTCTTCTCGATCCATAATTCTGGTCGCACCCCGGACAGGTGCTGATAATGGTGCTCATACCTTGTTGATACGAGCGGAACGCCTTTTCGTAACGGTGTTCATAGCAATAACGATCCAAACCAGGAGAAGTACGCGTTGGGCAGGCACCACTGTTGGTCGCTATATGGTATTCGCAGCTGGGGAGGCGGCGGCGTTCAAGGATTCCGTTGTCGTACACAAAAGAAAAGCTGTTGTACTGAACCAAATCTTGGCCATTAACGCACGATGCTCGACGAACAGCGGTCAAGGTACACGCAGAGGACGGGGCAGCAGGCGCACGTACAACCTACAAACGCGCCACAGTGTCGACAAATACATGTGTAGACCGTCCGACCTATTTTGAACATCTCGATTGGGCTATTCTACCTGTATCTGGTTGGGTCGCTCGCCCGGAGCGAAGGGGTCCACCTCGCCTAGCACTTCCCTTGCTCCTTTCGCCAAGTTCTGGGCTGAGCGTGCTGTTGTCGGGTCCGCGAAGTAGCGGTCCAGCTCGTACATGGACATCTTCTGGACACCGGGACAAAAGGAAGAGAGACCACACGATGAGTGACCGATGACATTTTCATGATCACGCGAGAGAAGGGTAGGGGTCACTATGTAACCGCGGCAGCAGCTACTGCATGTTCTGCTGCCATCGCTCTGGCCTGCATCAAGCTGTCTGTATACTGTCTCTGAGCGTCGTCCAAGAACACACGATACATACGTTTGTGACTCATCGGTATTATTGTCCGCGCGGTCGTTCAGAACGGAACGAGATCAATGTTTGTTTGCTGGCCCCCTGAACCTTAAACAAGCAGTCCCTGCAACCCGACCAGGTGGTTGGCCGTCGCAGGGGCTGTTTGATGTTGCTTCTCTGAGAGCCAATCCCTTTTCCTCGCCTGGTTCACCATGGCGAAGCGGTCGTGAGGGTGTCCGGCAGGGATAGTAGTCTGAGAAGGAGCACGCGGGTTGCCAACAATGCTTTGTTCCGACCCTTGAAGTTCCTCACAGTCCCCAGCGGTGGAAACAGTGTTTGAGTCCATGCATCTTGTCGCTGCGTTGTCGTCGTCAACACAACCTAAACCCTACTCCTGGTTGTAATGCAGGCTCGTCGGCGCGATAGTTACTGTATGCAGGGGTCGAGACGTCGGATGGTTGCACAAGGGGGAGATACAAAAGTCTATATTTCCGGACGCCACAAAATACATGCAATCAAACATTCTCTTCTGAAGACCGTTGGTGGCGGGGCGCATCTTCGTATTAGAGATGACGAAAAACTCTTCGTTGTTGAAAAAATATAGTTGCTGCACTAGACGGTGCTGTATATGGGTGGACGAAGACCAAAAAGAACGTTGAAATGACGGTTTCATGCGGCAGAACCTCTGGTGGGAGTCGTCGTCGGCGATAGATGGATGGAGAGAGATGCATATATGAAAGAGCCACAAATCGTATAACACATAACGTCCACAGAGCAAACAGGAGACCACGCCTGCAGAGAAGCCCGTTCAATCATACACGCCTTGCTGCTGAGGACGAAGCAAGTCCGTGTCAGCCGCACGCCCGTGCCTTTTAGCCAGCAAGGGAGCGAGAGGAAGAGGAGACTGACGCAGGCGGAGCCGAGAAAAAATAAAATCACTGGGAAATAGTGTGCGAGCGGGGCAACGGCAGAGAGAGAAGGAGAGCGATTCTGTCTGCGCAACCTAGCTGGACACTTGAGAGCGAAGGAGGAAAAAAAGGCTCTGCACGATGTTCAGCTGCTGCGCGCTCTTCAGCCAGACAGATGAGCCGGCTGACACGGAACACCTCAAGGCGCTAGACGTGAGTGTGGGTTCGTGGCAGGGGCAGCAGCTGTGGAACAAATCTCTTGTGTTTTTTTTTCCTTCTAGCGAATCCCTGTCTGCTGTTTTTTCCTCTCCTCCACAAGGCCTATGTTGTGCGTGAATCGCGGACCTGTCGCGATACACACACACAGCAGCAGCAGCAGCACCCCTTCAGGGTTATGACATGTAGCAGGGCCACGAACAGCAGCACGCACAGGTGACATTCAGAGCTCGTTCGTGGTACGTACAAGGGATGAAGAACAAAAGGTCCCGAGGATCATTGGAGGAGGGTTGGTTCAAGCGCTCCTCGGCATTTTTGCTGCCAACAATCTGCAACCGTTTCCGCGCGTACATATGCATAGCAGCTCCTACACTAAATAGTCGTTGGAGAGATAGATCATTGCACTTGAAAACCTTTGTGCATCACCGTCCTCATCATCACCAGCTGCAGGCTCCTTCCTCTTTCTGCACTCAGAGAAAGTCGAGCCGTCCGACAGCGGGGAGAGCGTACGGGACGTTCTTTTCAAACTCACTCCTGATGTGTTTTTTTTCCTGGTCCCAGACCTTTTTTTTTTTGCCGCGCCGCCGCTGTTGCTGCTGCTGCTCCGCGTGTCTAAATGGGAGGCACACACGCACAGCCTTTTGCTTTGCGCGCGGGTTGAGAGGATGGGAATGTAGCCGACAGCAGCGCGGCGAGCTCAACCCACGTAGCAGCAGCTCCAAACTTCGATATCTTCCAATCAATAATAGATCGCCACAACAGCAATGGTCAAGTGTCCACATATATACTCTCGAAGATTCTAATTCTATCTGCCGACCTTGCCTACGCCCCCCTCTGTCTCTGCTCTGTAAAAACAGAACCTAAATTCAGATTTCTTTAAAGGTAACGCCCGACGCCCGACACACACATCCTTGCACCACAGCAGTAGCAGGGATTTCAGTCGCGCGGATGATTTTTTCTTGCCTCCTCTCAGCCAACGTTCGTTTTTTTCCACCTTTCTTCGTACGTTTGTTGGCGTAGAGCGAAAACAATAGTCCGTGTAGACTACTTGTAACAAACTTGCAGCAGAACAAAATTTCAGAAGTGGGGCACGTTATTAGGAGAAACAAATATACACACAGAAAGACTACCCGTTCGAGGTATAACTACACTCGAAGGGGATGTGTTGGCGTTATCTATATGGTATTTGTACCACAGCAGTATTCATTTGTAACAATGACTAGCATATGTATACATATATGCCCGTGGACTTTTGTGCAAGTTGTGGGCCCCCTCGTCATCGATCACAACTCTGAGGCTCCGTCAATCGAATCCGATTCACGCAATCAAATCATCGGGGCTGATGAGAATCGGAAGCAAAAGTGATACGTTTTTCCTCGCTGTTGGCGGCTGCCAAGCCGCTTCTCCAACCACTCCACTCCGATGCCCTAATCCTTGCTGTACTGCTGTATTTTGCATTTCAAGGGCTTGGACAAGGTGTTTCGACGCTGGCTCAATTTTGATTTCGAAGTCTTGTATATAGTGGATAGGGCGGGTATTGAGTCGCTGGGTAGCGACTCACAACCTTGCAGTAGGCTTATCTGCGATGCTGATCATGCGCGAATCCCGACACACAACGTGAATCGTTTGTGGTGAAGCTACGCGTGCACCAGAGGGACAGGTGTGCGACGGGCGCGACGATGGTTGTATGTGCGGCCCTTCAAAATTTGTTTACTACGGTTGTTGCTTTTCCGTTGATGCACATGCACACACCCACGAAGAAATACTGCACTCTTCAGTACAGCTCTCGATACTGGAATATACTGTACTGGCAGCACGGCGCTCGGTACTGTACTGTACTGGACGTTTTAGTACGCAGTTAAATACTGGAATAAAAATACTGTACTGTACTAAACCTGCCCGTGAAAAGAAATGCGAAGTCTTGCCGCTGTGTGAACGCAATCACGCACATCAGGGCTTCTGGAAGAGGCACGCATGCGGCATGTACTGGCAGCGGGCGTATCACACATCATACCGTTGAGGAGCACGAACAGCAGCGTAGACATACGATTGTGACAAGACAGATGGCAACTTTTGCGCCAGGCTCACAACTTGCCCGCCACTTTCGTCTCAAGCCTTCAGAGTTTCCCGCCGAGTGAAAGCAAGCAGTCTACGTATTGTGTGTTCGTTTGTGATGATCGGTCTGCTGTCAAGGGGCCCTCCATGTGGAAACCGTGGAACACCCCAGCCCCCAGCCCCCCCCCGCGGGCCAAGATTGCAGCGCAACATAAGGGGTTTAGGCAGCACGCTTGCAGCAGTCTATTGTATATATATATATATTTTTTTCTCCCATCATTGGACTCTGTCGTCTGCCCCTCTNCGACTTACGAAGTCGATTATGGTTTACTAACAAACGAGCTTTGCAGCGCGTCGCTTTCATCCTAGACCAGGATTTATTTGGTGAGAAAAAAACTCTCTCTGCCGGGACTCGAACCCTTGACCTGGCCCTTAGCAGGCTGCGAAGTTACCCACTAGACCACCGGGGCGACCGGTGTTCATGATTTAGTCTGTTTATACTAAAATCAATATACTCTTCATTGAGTAGACTTCCGTGCCGCATTTTAACACTCATACTAGAGATGGAGGTTGTTGTTGTTGTTGTCTTCACATTAAAAACCATCCCGGTCTCTCTATCCAGTACCTCCTTCTGTCTCAATCTCTCCGTACTAATCCATCACTTGACTCGGCCAATTTCCGTGGTCACAGGCTAACGTACCTAGAAAAGGTATACCAAAATAAAATGGACCCCAAGGGTCAGCAGAGCGATAAAATACAAGAAAACAAAATATAATCAGAAACAAATAAAATAAAA